AAAAGTAAAATAAGGTGATTGGCAAAAAAAAAAAGTCATTGAACTACATGGTGATTGGCAAATTAGCAAATCAACTGAGCTAGAACAACAATTGGAACTTGAGAAAAAAGATGAAGTTAAAAGTACTTATTTTCAAGTTGAGAGTAATGCATTTTGAAATTTTGATCTTTTCAAGTCCAAAAGAGCACATGCATCACATATTTCATTAGAAAACATGTCTACAAGTCTTCATTCAAAAGACTGGTTCAAACCTAGAAATGATAATTCATCAGACTAAGAATAAGCTATATCAAAGCCTGTTATGTTTCATTTCTTTTCATAATTAGTAAATAAAGAATTATATACAACACTTTCTATTTCAAACTTATGTAATTAATACAAAAAAATTTCAAGTATTCAGTTTCACATTTTAAATCAAATCAAATGTAAAATATTATTTTAGTCAATTGTTCACACTTTTTAATGCAAAATATTATTTTAGTCAATTGTACACACTTTTTAATATGCAATAAAGACTCAAAAACCCTAGTTAAGAAATTAACTCCGGCAGTGAAGGGGCGGCGACAGGTGTTAAGCTTCCCCCTTGTGATCTCCTTATCTGTGACAGACCAATGGTGGGACAGCCACAATAAAAGGAGATAAATTTCTGGTGATCTTAATTTTAATTATATACTCCTACTATTTAATTGTAACAAAAAAAAAAAAAAAAGATCCCTTATTCTATCCTACGCACTCAAAGCCTTCACCAGATGCTAAAGTGCGCACCCTTTCACTTACACTAAACAGCAACACCTGGCTTTGGCTCCGCCATATATGTTCAGGAAGAAGGGAACCAAAGCCAAGAATTATCATAAAAGACAGACACAACACAACAATGTGGGAGCAAAAAATTGAATTATATATTATTCAAATTTCACCAAATTCAGGCTTTTTTATGAAACCAAGACAATGAATTAATAACGGATAAAAAAAAAAAAACTGTTCATTGTACTAGAAAGTTTCAACCCATCAAATCCAAAAGGCACACGAGGCGTTGAGCTCCAAAAAATTGAATAATTTATTGAGTTATCATAACAAGATTCAAACTTTAATACTGTACTGTATGGAATTACAGAAAAAAAAAAGGATGATTAATTAAAGGAAGAAAATTTACCAGGACTGATTAATGAAATTGATTTTTCGAGCTCAGTTTTTGCCTTTTCCTTTCTGGCCGGAGTGCTGCAAGCGGGCATCGTAGCCGGACTGGAACTGGTTGTCCAAGTAGAAGCCCTGTGGAGATCCATCGGAAAACCTGTGGAGCTGAGGTAACAAAGACGTCGGAGGAGAAGATGAATTGGACTGAAGGGTCCCCCTGTTGAAGCCAGCAAGAGCGCCGGTCGAGTTCCCTGAAGACGGCAAGATCGTGAAGTTCAGGTTGTGGTGGTGGCTGCCGCCGCCGGAGACAAATTCCGGGATGAAGGAGAAAGGCTGAAGCTCCGGGTGGTGGTCGGACACCACGCTGAAAATCGGCGACGCCGCCGGTGCGAACGGGTTCGCGCTACCCTGCTGCATCTGCCCCGCGCGAGCGGTCGCCGGCGCCGGCGCCGGCGTCCCCAAGAGGCCGGAGGTGAAGTAGTCCATCGGGGTTGAGGACCAATTTCTGGGGGATTTCAGGAAGAAATCCGACCCGGTGCCATTGGATCCTTGGTCGGAGCTGTTCGTGTGGTTGTTGTTAGCAGCACTGCTAATTCCTCCGCTCAGAAGCTCGGTGAAAGAGGTGGCCTGAGAAATATGGTTCAGTGTGGCGCCGGCCACAAGAGGTGAGTCATTCTCCTTCTCTTTCTCCTTCTCGGCCACTCTCCCTTTGGCACGCTCACGGGCCTTGATCCGGCTCTCAGATCTGGACAGAGAGAGGCCGGCCGACCCCTTACTAGTCTCCGACGGGCTGCTGCAGGCGGAGGATTTCGTCACCGGCGGCTGGGGAAACCCAGGATCTCCCCCTCCGCCTCCTCCGCCGCCGCCGTCCATGTCGATCTCGGCCGAGTCGAACCCCAGATGGTCGCTGCCGGCGGCCGTGCTCGACCGCTTCTCGTCGCTCAGCTGCTTGGGTGTGTCCGGGAAGGGGCTGCTCATCGGCGGCAGCTCGTCGATGGAGGCCGCCGCCGCCCTGAGCAGCCATTCCACCGCCTTGCTCGGCTGGTCGTACCCCAGACGGTCCTGCAGATCGTAGAACTGGATGGCCGTGTTCTGCCGAAATCAAGTTGGGACAAATCAAGAAAAACTGAAATCGGAGCTCAAGCAATTTGTGAAATTAGGGTTTTCTTTTGATGGAGAGAGAAATTAGCGTCCTTGGCATTGATGATGATTACACAGAGGGCTTTGGCTTTTGTGATGAGATATACATAAGGAGAGAGAAATAACAGAGAAAAGGTCAGAGAAGAAGAGAGAGAAAGAGAAGGGTTTTTTCTTTTTTGTTGGAAGCTTTTTGCAGAAAGCAAAAACCACAGCCTGTGTATTTTGCTCAGACCACAACTTGGCTCAGCTCTGGAAAACCCACAAAATAAGGAAAATAAAAAATATTAATAAAAATAATCCAAATATAAAAGAAAAAATAAGTAAAAGAAAAATGACAATTAGAACATATAGAAGACGAGCTTTGTCTATTGATGACCGTTCGAAAGTAGTGTTGTTAAATTAAACGAGTCTGATCCGGCTCGTTAAGGCTCGAGCTTGAGGCCATAATGAGCCAAGCTCGAATCCATATAAAGCTCGGTTGGTTGGTTAACGAGCCGAGCTCGATTCGACAAGACTCGTTAAAGCTCGAAAAGAGAATTTATATATAATTTTCTATAGTTCGACTCGTTAAACCTCGAGATTGACTCGTTAAAGCTCGAACTCGACTATTTAATAGTGATAAACAAGCCAAGTTCAAGCTTACTTTCTGGCTCGTTTATTTAACAAACTGAGCTCGACTCTGCTCGATCGTTTACAGGCTTAAAAGGTGTACGTAACTTTTGCATTTATAGTCATAATCGCTATTATAATATACTTTTAACAAATTGAACTCATTTAAATAAGTGGTACTTTGCCATATTATAATAGCAAATTTGAGTCTAAACATGATAATCAAAACAAGTTTGTAACTTTTACTTGCTATTAATACATTTTCGAAAGTGGAACAATGTTTCTGATTGAACCCATTGAACAAGTGGTACTTAGCCATATTATAGTAACGCTTCTGAGTCAAAATGTTAAATTAAAAAAAAAAATTGTTTTGTTAACGAGTCGAGTTTGAGTCGTCTAACAAGGCTCGAAATGATAATTTTTATATAATTTTTTATAATTCGGCTAGTTAAAAATCGAGATTGGCTCGTTATTAGTCATAAACAAGTCGATCTCGAGCTCGATTTCAGGCTCTAGACAATCCTCAGCAACCCATTAAAAAAGCAATTGAATTTATAACCACCACATATATCAATCCAAGCCAAAGAAAAGAATCGGATGCAAAGAAGGAATGGAGAAAAGGAAAGATAAATGAGTGAATTGTCCTTTTAACTTGTTCTTATTATTATTATTATTATTATTTTCATGGAATCCAAATTATATTTGGGAATGGGGCTTACATTTATTGGTTTCCAACAGAAAATATTGAAATAAATAACTACGATTATAATCGCTTTGTTAGGATTTTGGTTTCTTTTGAGCAGAAATGAAAGCGATTTGTGTGTATAGAGAGAGATAAAGTAATTAAAGCTTTAGCTGACCCTAGAAATTGCAGACAGCCACAGACATATAATAAAAGTGTGGTCAGTTTAACGACGAAATTACTCAACAAAAATAACGTCCAAACACCAATTTTTTTTTATTTTTTATTTTTGTGTATATGTATAAAGGAAGGAAATCTATTAAATATTATCTTTTGTCAAACAACATACAAGCAAAAACGTGATATATAATGATTTATTGGTTTTCATATGTGCAAAAAAAATCGAGAAAATGTTGGATATGTGATGTAAATTTTCAGATCCTTTTACTTTTTCTTCTATACAGATTTTTCATCAGAAATAAGTCTACTAATTTTGGCCAGTGTAAATTAAGGCAATCTTGACCTTTTTTGCAGAACTAAAAATTCAATCTTTGGCAAAATCTTCAGAAAAATTTACAGAATTAAATCAGCCCATTTTCTAAAGATTTTATTTTTTTACTCTNAAAAAAAAAAAGATGATTCAAAGGGGAAACTTGTCTCAGCTCGCAAACAAGAAAATAGTGACAACAAGAGCAAAATTTTTCAGCTGCTAACTATCTAAAACTATTTAATTACCTCAAAATAGTGTCGAGCAAAAATTGAAAATCCCGTAAATTAAGGTAATTAAAGGCAAAAAAATGACCCGACTTTGGAGTTTGCAAAAAACGGGTCGTACCCGAAATTCTAGTGGAGCTGCTTCCTTATCACCCAACTTCACAAACTCCAAAGCCCTGCAAATTAAATATGCTCAGCAAAATTAACAGACAGCACTTATTCCACTTTAATTTCCCCAGACAATAAATACAAATTGTGGATTATGGAAATTAATGTAGTTTGGGTTTTAAAACTAATTAGGGTTTTGGGTTGGGAATCAATTTTATGAGATGTTTTTGAAAATTATGGATAATTAGTGGTTAATTTTGCAGGGATTTGAGGGTTTGATAAAAAAAAAAAAATGAAAAGCCCTAAAAAATATTTTAAAAAATAAAATGAAAGCAAATGGACAAAATCAGCGGGCTTATCGGGACAGGACAGACACAACGCCTTTCATTCTCCTTTACATCCTCCTTTTTATTTTGCATTTTGGTCCTTAAACCTTTTGCTACTTACCCATTACGCCCCTCAAATTATTTAGGTATACATTATCGAGACAACTTAACTTAGGCCATGGTTGCCTAATTTTATACAGTAAAAGGACCAAGCATGGATTTTTTTATTTTTATTTTTCAAACTAAGGACTGGAGAAAAAAATAAAGTTCAACATTTGCTTCACTTGTAATTTGATGTTTTTCTATTATTTCAAATAAAAGGCAAGAGTTTTTATATTTTACAAATCGAAACATGCAATTAATAAATCGACTGGTAGATTATGTGTTGAAAACCACATTCATAGTATTTTAGGAAAATTGAAGAATCATGCAAGTTAATCAAAAGTGAGCCGGAAATTTGGACTGACAGCGAAAGAAAAACGACAGAATTACGAAGTTGTAAGTTTATGAGCTAATAATATTAGCTGTGATCCTAATTTTATGAGCTAAATTTATTTTTATTATGGAAAACGTAAGAAATGTTGTGATTTAAACATGATTAAATTGTAAAGTTCATTAAATTAAGATTGTGCTTTTATATGCAAACTTACAAAAATATGATAACAAAGGTCAAGAATATTAACAATTCATTAATGTAAGTTGAAATGAATAAAACTATTGTGTGTCCGTACAACAATGATGTGTCTCATACTCTCATGCCCTTATCTCCATTTGTTCATAATTTAAAATATACAAAATTCAGATTATGGGAAATAAGGCTGATAGAAATAGAATATGATGGGCCAACAAAAACCACGTATTATTGGTCCATTTTTCTTTTTCATTTTTAAACCCAATAAAAAAAGAGAAGGGATTTCAGCCACCAAACCTAAAACAAAACAACAAAAATTCGGGGTGATTTGGAACCCACGGCTTATTTCATTTCCCATCATCATGCATAATATAGGGCCACAATTTTATTTTTT